ATGTGAGTACTATATATACAAAAGGTTCTCTCGTGATTGCTTCTAGTGCTATCAAGACAAGTATGTAAATGATTTTGATGCATATTACTAGTACTCGAGCTGTTCTGTCTTCTACCACTTAGAGAGTTCGAATTGAATGCCACCTTTATAGAGGGAAAAAGATCGAAAGCTTCGTATTTTGCTTGAGATCAGTTTGAAAAGCGGACTTTATGGAAACACGCGAGATATCGTGCTCTCTATTTTCTTCGCATGTAATTTAATTTTTTCGAACTTTATTTGCGTACTACAGTGAAGAATACCACCCGTCTACAGACAATAGAGTCTTAGAACTAGTGGCGTAGTCACCGCGTGGGCTAAACCCACTATTACGCTTATATTACAAATTATTATAAAGAGAAAGCAAGCCATGGTAAAATATTCTAAAGAAAAATATAAGAAAAAACGTCACCGTCATCGTCATGACAAAAAAGATGGTGGTCGTCGTTCGAAATCACGAGAATCTCGTTCATCATTTCAATCGAATATTGTGAGAGGAATCGTAAACGAATATCAACTGGTGAAAAACTATGGCACAAATTGAAAATGGAAGATAAAAATTACGTTTAGAAAAAAAGAAATAACGTCAATTAGTGAAAACTATTGAAAGACCGCAAGAAAAACGTCTGAGACGTTTAGCAAAAAGAACGACGACGAAAATCAGAATTAGGTTGGAGTGAAGAACACATGGATATGAATAATACAAATAATCCATTTGTGATGATAAATTATTAGAAAATTTTGTTTGGTAAAGAAATTGGAGTACAAATTTACCAGTTTCTCAATTAAACAATATAACAAAACAAAGAGTAGAAGAAAACAAATCTGAACTCGAGAAACTGAAACGTCGACGTTTAGAACGTGAACATCAGAAAGAAGAAATGGCAAAGAAAAAGAATTTTTACAACGTTTGAAAGAAGCCGACTATTATCGTGAATGGTGGGAAAATGAAGAAGATTTGTTTCACTTCAATCAACTTAAATTACGATCAAATATTCGTATTTTCGATGGTCGTCCAAAATTCATTGATGTATTAGCATGGCACATATCCGTAGACGATGGCAAAGATTTATCAGCTAAAATACATGAACCATCGACCTATCTTAATGGTTTAAGTATTCGTGATTTAGAAAATTTATTGGCAGATATACGAGTTTATACTAAATTAGACATTCAATCACAACGTCAATATGATAAACAATATTGGTTTCATATTACAATAGTGACAGAAGATGAATTAAAAAAATTAAAAAATAATCTATTAAATGATGTTGGTGATCGACAAGAGGGAATTAATTAGGCTGTAGTAACTGATGTAAATCAAACATTTAAGAATAAAACTCAACAACAATTGGAACAATTAGAAGAGCGAATAAAATCAAAAACTGAAAAAGGAAAAGAAATTGATACAGAAATGTATTTTGTTAAAATGTTTAAGTAGGAGTTTACTAATAAAGATTTCAACGGCATTACTAATATTACTGTGAATATATTCAATATATTTTTAAAAAAAAATAAAACGGTTTTATTTTTTTTTAAAAATTCCTAGCAAAAATATAACTATTTACTGGCAAAATGCATGAATAAACAGTCATCTGATATTTTTTTTCTTATAGCACAGTTGTTTTCCTGTGATAACAGGCCTCTTTTTTATTTTTGGAAGTGAAGTGAAAACACTTCCGAAGAGAAAGAATACACATGGAAACAAAGAACTAAAGTGAGAAGTGTTTGAATGATAAAGACAAAGAGTTTTGCGTTTTATTCTAACTTTACTTACACATAAAAAAGTTGTTCAGCTCGGTTTGGTTTAAGAATGTTTCGCTTCGATTCAGTTCGATTGCAGAAAAACACGAACCGATCCCACCTCTGATGATTACCAAACATTTGGGCGCAACGACGTTCAGGCGCAAGGGCATTTGGATGCATGCACGATAAAAGCATTCAGTAAGAGTGCAGTTGTTAAAGTGTGATGCATAGCAATAAAATTTTCTTTAAACAAACTTGGTACGGTGTGAGAGCTTTTTCTATATTACTCATATCCAATTGTAATCATCGCTTGTTTAATCTTCATTGATACTCACCCTCAGCCTTTGAACCCCAACTGTCGTTCCGACTAAATGTCGGTGCCCAAGTGCCGCACGCCCAAGTATCGGTATACCAAGTACAATGCCTTGCGATTCGTGACTATCTATGATGCTTACTTCAGCTGACTAATAAATATAGTATCGTTAAAGATCCCACTGATATATATATTTATAATATCCTATAAGCAGTCTCTACAAAACAATCATTTTCTGAAACTCTTATTTTTGCTTTTAATCGTTATAATTTAACCTTTCTTCATAACATCTGCTTATCATGTTCTAAAGCAACATCAAAAGACCTCATTTCTGCACTGAGAAGTTTTGTAATGGGACTATTTTATCCATAGAATCCACTTTTCTTTTCCCATATTTAAATCTATGCTGATACAAGCAATGATTACTTTCGTTTCTGCTTTATTTTGACCTATATTTTATTTTCTAGCTTCACCGTCGTAATGAGACATAAAAAAGGATCTGAATGTGAAAGTGAAACAATCAGATATGCAATTAAAAAATAGCAGCAGTATTAGGATAATAATCATATAATAATTATAGTATTAAAAAAAAACGAACAAATTATTATTTCATTAGAAAAATGGTCACTTTTGCCTCGGTGAATAGAAAGCCGAGAAAATTTAACTTTGTGCATAACATGAAATGAATATGCCGGCAGCATAAATTTTATAATTTGATATTAACTTTTCTCTGGTGTCGAATAAGAAAAAGGAGAAAACAAACAAAAACACTTGTACAGAACAGTAAAAAGATTTTAACAAACAAACACAATCTATACTATTATATCAATTTTTCAAATTCTGTACAAAGTATCTTACTTCATGTGGCAAGACAAAATCTTCCTAAGTTAATGTGGTCCTCGAAAGTTTCAAAGGAGTTTAGGAGTATTCATCTTTAGTAGCATCTAACATTATTTTACACTTTTAAAATTAAATTTAGAATTTTGTTTTCTGATGTATGTGATCCTCTAAAGTGAGAAATTCTGTGTCTTCTGATATAAAATGCATGGCTTTACATTTTGAGTTTGAGGGCAAAATGACGATACTATAGATTTCCTATGTAAGTCATTTAGGGCTTTCCTTCTCGCACAAACGATTAACCGTTGAACACAAATAGTGTCAGATTGTACAACATAAAATTCTGCATCGTTTGACGTTAAAATAATTATGTGTAAGTTGAACTGAGAGATCAGCATCGCTTCGCTAAAGAAATTAAGTTTATTCTGTGCCGTTCTAGAAAATTAGAATATTTTAATATCGCGAATATTCAGCTGAAATTTCGAAAATAATTTCAAAACAAAATCGAGAGTTTCGTACAGAATTAAATTCTCTATCTTTTGAGCTAGATATTAAGTTTTGAAACACAAGTCAGTATGGATAAAAATTTAATAGAAAAGTGGCTCCAGGACCACGTACTTCTAGAAAAATTGCTTTTTTGTTTTTCTATAACTTATTTTCTATTTTTCAGAATACAGAGCTGTTTTCTAGATTTGTCTATATGAATCTGGTGGCAATTTTCGAGAGAAAAGATCCGTGATACGACATTTCCATCAACGACATTACGACGAACACGACCCGGACTCTTCCGCGAATTTTCACAGAACACGTTTGGGTATTTTTGGCTGTGTGTGATAGATGAGAGTGTGGTCAGTGTGAGAGTGAGTTCGAAAAGTAGTTTTACACAAAACATATTTTCATCATAACATAACTTCACTCACTTTCAAAATATGATATACAAAATACAAAACTAGGCGCATTTATTGTTCTTTTCGAATAAACAAGACTTCACGGTAATGTCGGTTCGCGGAAATGGCGGTGTATCCAAACATCGACAGAACACGAGATCTCATTTGCTGGAAAGTGAACCAAATGTCGATTTCTCTTAGAAATATGAGTTTCAAGAAAACAGGAAACCGCTGGCACGTACATATAGGCGCTTGTATAAAATTGTTCTTCTTTTTCTCATTACCGAGCTTCTGAACTTTCTTAACGGCATAACATGTCGAGGTCCGTAACAGTGGCACCTATTGAGAAATGAATGTGCTGGTAGAAGCATTTTCATCGTGTAATTCACAAAAGTTCTAAGATTAGAAGATCTCAGTAATTTTGTCAACAAAAATAGTCCAAGTCAAAACATTTTTGACATTTATATGCGGAAAAATTGGTAAGATGTGACTCAACTTCACATATATAGGCTACATACGCTGCCGCAGACTCAATTAAATCTCTCTGTTGAGAAGGCGAAAGATGCTCGCATGGGTGAATTGAATTCAACAAAAACGACAACGATGCTAAAAACAAAGACAAAATAGTAAAAGGTACACAGAAGTTTTCAGAGTTCTGGAGGAAAAAAATGACACTTTTGAAATCGTCCAACCTTTTTGGGTTTCCAAAATAATCGAAAGAATCTGTTATGTCAGTAATCACTGACATTCCTTCCTCTTCCTCTTTTCTGCTCTGATGACCACAAAGAATGTTGACTCAGTCCTTATTGAGTCAACGTTCTTTCATCATATTTATATAGTATTTGTCTGTACACACGAAGAAAACCTGTTCTGATGTGTTTGTGATTTTATTCTTCGAATAAAATTCAGTGCCAGGCTAACACCAGGAAAAAGTTCTTCAAGACCTCAACAATATCAGGTTTTGTTGACCCTTTTGCGCTCATTCGAATGATGTGTAATATAAGCAAACTGGTTGCGTGATAATGTCGCAATTCAAAGTACAAGAAATACAGAGTTCAATTTTTGAACAAAACTTATAGGTACTTTTCTTATAAAAGTTATTTTCCCCAGGTTTTATCGATTTTTTTGACGCGCCCACAAATTGCCTCATAAGTATCAAATAGAAAACTAAAATTCAATTTATTAGATGATAAAGTTGAGTTTGCAAGACGTTTCAGCATGTTTCAGCTGGATGTTTTCGGCATCACGAAGCAATAGATTAAGCTTTTATAAAGTGATGACAAAAGGGAAAACAACTTACTTTAGTTTAACTTTAGCACCCTCTAGATCCCGCTGATTTTCAACAACATATCGATGTGTGAAGGGTAAAGAATGACGATAGATTTCATCAGCGTTAACATAATAATTTACGGCAGAATCTAACTTGTAAGTATCCGCATAAATTCGCCCATAATAGTGAAAGAGAAGCGCCAAATCACCATCCATATCTGTACGTGATTTCATACGGATCTCTAAACGTTTTTCAAAATATGCCCTGGGACTTCTCTGTTCTTCGTTCTTGAATCTTCAAAATTGCATGAAAACATACGTTATTGACCACGCTGAACCACGTGGCAATGTTAGTTTTCAGAACAAACTGCAAGAACCGAGTGAAAACCTCTGCTCGAAGATCTTATAAGATTCTCATAAAATTTCTATAAAATCTATAGAACTGCCTTGAGTTCGGTCAGCTAAGGCGCATGGCCAAAGTTCTTCGGAATAACCGATAAATCTAATAACTGAGCGAGCATTAGAGTGCATGTTGTGGTCATTTCCTGAACACTAGAAGAACAACCCGACTTGACTATCGACATGCAGATGCAGCGATTCTAAATGTCTACTTTAAATGAGCTTTCACTCTTCGAATGTCGCTCTCAGTGGTTACCATCTGTGGATGCGTTGTTGCAAGTGACTTGCGTCTTATTGCTGCTGCTTTGTTATGATATTCTAATGCTGATTGCCAAGTACGAGTTGCTTCATGCACGAGTCCCATATTACGGTATGTAGAGGCAATATCAGGGTGATCGGGTGGAAGAGCTTTTAAGTAGATTTTCAATGCTTTGTCATAATTCATCAAAGCTAAATCATATTCACCTTTGTTCCACTGCATAACACCAATATTGGTATATGTGTCGGCGATATCAGGGTGATCGGGTGGAAGAGCTTTTACTCTGATGTTCAATGCTTTGTCATAATTCATCAAAGCTAAATCATATTCACCTTTGTCCCGCTCCACAATACCGATATTGTAATATGTTTGGGCGATATGAGGGTGATCGGGTGGAAGAGCTTTTACTCTGATTTTCAATGCTTTGTCATAATTTATCAAAGCTAAATCATATTCACCTTTGTTCCACTGCACAAGACCAATATTGTTATGTGAGTCGGCGATACGAGGGTGATCGGGTGGTAGAGCTTTTACTCTGATGTTCAATGCTTTGTCATAACTCATCAAAGCTAAATCATAAACTAAAACGCGTAATGACGCTAATATATATATTCCAAAATAATGGGCCAGCCCATTATTCATAAAATAAAACGAAAATAATGGACCAGCCCATTATCTCTAGCAGCAAGGAAAAATAATTGAATAGCGCATTAATGATAAAATAAAAGAAATCCGTTTTAATTTGTCATTAATGGGCTGACCCATTATTTTTCCCCACTCAATCCATCCGTTGACTTTAGGAATTTATATCTTCGAGTGACCTTCGATGGCTTTGTATAAAAAGATAACGCTGTCCCGATAATGCTGGCAACGTAATATCGAACGAGGTTCAGTGACTACGAGGCACAGATCGCGCTCACTGCGACCACTAATCTTTGTTTTATAGCTGCACAGCACACTAGAGGGTACAGTAGGGTCAGCTAGTTTGCTTGTCTTCACAGGATAGTAGGGTTACACTTTAGTAGTTACTCGGCGTTACTTTACCAGGTAAAGTAACGCATAGAATATGTGCATGTTCGTCCTTCACAGTAGTATCAGTGCGGAATAATTGGCCCGCCCATCATTTAAGTATCTGTGTGTTTGTATATCCGTCACACACAGTGTAATTGTATATGTGTATGTAAGCGTGTGACACAGCGTGAACGACCATCCACGGCTTTGAATCATCGACAAAGCTCACACCTCCCTCCGGTCGACGCTCCCGTGCGACCTATCCACGGAGTGTCCTGCAATGTGCGTATGCCTGTCGGTCACAGTATGTTCCAATGTCTGTGTGTATGTACGTCCGTCACACTGCCACATGACTGTATCTATGTAGGTCCGTCATAAGAATTTGTTTCAGCGCTGCATAGCGTCATCTATCACTCCGCTAATCTGTTCGATAATCTTGTCCAATAGTAGCCGCCTTGTGACAGACCCACAAACGGGCATTTAAAGGTTGTAAGACTCTCCCCTCCGGTGGAGAGAATAGTCATGTGGCACTGTGACGGACGTACATACATATAGTCATGTGGAAGCGTGACGGACGTACTTACATTTAGTCATGTGGCATTGTGAGGAACGTACATACATATAGTCATGTGGCACTGTGACGGACGTACATACATATCATCCTTTGGCAGTGTGACGGACGTACATACATATAGTCATGTGGAGGTGTGACGGACGTACATATAAATGTTTTGCACGTATGCGATCATTCATACTGGGAAGAAGTATCATCATCATGACAGACCATTGTCCTTTGTGTAATATATTAGAAAGAACAGTTAGAAATGTCAGAGTAGATCGCATTGCAAATGTAATACAAGAATATAACGTCGAGCAAGTGATTCATATCAAAGGTAGAGAAAATTGTCTTCCTGACTTTTTATCACGTCATCCACGAGATTATGATGACTTAAACGATATTGATTATGGCTTGGCAAATAAGGATTTGGTTGACGAAGTTTCTAAACCCTCTTTCTTGCTGCTCGTGGCAGCAGGAGTAGGAGAACAAAGCTCTTCTACACCAAATCTTATATCGGCTATGACATTAAGATCACACAATAAAAATAATAATAACGCAACAACAACACTATCTGACGATGATAATAATCCATCCCTTCATAACAATTCAGATCCAAACTCAGAACCAGAGAATGATTTTGCACCAAATATTCTAACAAATTTTTCACATAATCATTTTGATGTTACGAGATTGAAAGAAGAACAAAGTAATGATCCTGAGATTCAAAAGATAATCCATGATAATAGAATACATTCAAATCAATCCTCGTTTATTTTTAAAGATAATATTTTATATAAACTAATTCAACCATCTCGTAATTCTAAAAGAAAAATTCACGTAGTATATCTTCCAACGTCAATGATCAAACCATTACTTTATGCAATACACAACGATCCGATGAGTGGCGGGCATTTTTCGATTGATAGAACGTATAACAAAATCAGAACAAAATATTGGTGGCCAAACATGAAGTATTCAATAATAAAACATATAAAAGCCTGTTTAAAATGTCAACAACATAATATAAATCGTCAAAAGAAACATGGTAAATTACGCCCTATACCACCACCTGAGGGACCCTTTCAGTTGATCGGTATCGACTACTGTGGACCTTTAAAACGGTCTCCACGTGAAAATCAATACGTCCTCGTAATAACAGATTATTTCACTAGACATATCATAGCAGTTGCATTACCTAATTGTACTGCACAAACAACAGCTCAAACATTATTTAATGAATACTTTTGTAAATTTGGTATACCAGCAGTAATGTTAAGTGACAAAGGACCACACTTTCAAAACATACTGATGGAAAATATATCAAAGTTAATAGGTTACAACCACATATATTCCACACCTTATCATCCTCAAACCAATACCATTGTGGAGCGGTTTAACAGCACTTTCATTCCACAAATTGCCAAATTACAAGACGATCAACAGAGTAACTGGGATGAATATTTACAAGCTGTAGTATTTGCATATAATTCTGGAATACATAAAACCACAAAATATTCACCCTACGAACTCTTATATGGCAGACCACCACAATTACCAATAGATCCACGTCCAACACATTTTTCATTTCAAAAACCTAATGATTATTTTATACAATTACAAAAAACTTTAAAAATTTATCATAAAATGGCTAAAGAAAATATAATACATCAACAACAACTAAATAAAAATAGATATGATAAAAATCGTCCAGATCCACATTATAACATGGGAGATATGGTATTAACAAGAAATTTTATCCGCGGAGACAAATTATATGGTAAATATTCATCCACACCCAAAATTATCATACATTCTAATCATCCTACCTACATAGTTCAGGATCCAGAAACACACATCGAAACAAGAATCCATGTTGGAGATTTGAAATCTATTCTCGTCGATTATTGAATTTCACTTATAAGCAATAATACATTAAGTATAGTTTTCAACAGACTAATAAAATATAGATTAAACTAAATTAAGTATAATTGGCAACTATCATTCATAACATCACGTTTAATCTAATCTCTATTTTCCTATATATCTATTGATTTCGGACATAGTATTGAGAAACTAAGATTTTGTAGACCTGGCCCGTCGACCTTATCTTATTCATGATTATAGAACTTGTATAGAACTTGCTAGCTAGAAGAACTATATGAGTGGCAGGAAAAGGTATTGAGAAACTCTTGAGACTAGCTGCAAACAATGTTAGGGATAGAATGACTTCCAATTTCCTAGTAAACGATCGCGGCGTCTAACTAGAACTTAAAACTAACATCATTGATTATTTGCTTTTATATTCATTAACTTATCTATTAAAGATGAGTAAACAAAATTATTATCATCATAATTCATCGTCATCATCGTCGTATTTTTCTACAAATCAGCGCCATTATAATCATAATAATAATAATCAATCAAGATCAATAACACCAACAGCAGACTGGGAACGACCGGACTCACGCCGTCTTTCACCTTTATTGCCGCCAGTGGCGAGCAGTAGTCAGGTGCGGCGACGTGATGAAAGTCGTCCATATGCTCATACAACATCCTCAGAAGAACTACAAGATCATCGTTCAAGACAATCTCAACATAATACAGGTATGCAACGCCAGTCATCTTCGAGTCGTTCACATTTATGGCCGCCAGTGGCGAGCTGTAGCAGTGTGCAACGGCGAGAAGACGACCGGCGACATACGAATAATAATCAATCATCATCATCAAGAGATTATCGCACTCATCATAATCGTAATCAAACACGTCAACCTATACGTGATCCTCAGAAGCATTTATTAGAACGTAGACCAGAAAATTGTCCGGATGGCCTAACTGATTCCCAACGTACATCATGGTTGAAAACAGGTAAACAAGCACTTGAAAACCAGCAATTAAGTGCAGTAACACCAGCATTCGAATACGATAGCAAACATTATGGATCACCTATCTCCATTGATTATCTCACAGAAGATAAAACATTAACTGAACTAATCTCAAAATTTAAATCTATAAGAGAATATATGATAGATACCGAAAGTGATTCAAACATCGGACAACCCAATTGTCATCGTAAACAACCAAATAAACCTGCCATTATTCAAATTCAAGCTATAGAAAGTGAAGAAACTTCAACGGTGATTATAATTGAAGCACAGTTTCTCCCTGATCCATCATCAGGCAAATTTAAATCCATTAAGCAATTATGTGATACTATTTTTTCTCCATCGAATACACTTATAGCATCATGGTCACTTCAAAAAGCTATAAAAACAATATTTAATAGGGCAATTGATAAAGAACTACAAAACAATTTTTGGTCCTGTGGATTAGATCCAAAATTAAAAACATATGAAACTGATTATGATAAAGAGACAAGACAATTAATGACACGCTATGCTATTAATGACGTATTCGCGCCTACTTGTCTTTATTTTCTTTTAGAAAAGAAACATTGTTTATTTGAATCTCCAACATCTCAATTTACATCAGCATTAAAATCATCATCATCACCATCTACATTGCAATCAATAATCGTAAAACCCAGTGAAGACACCACACCATCATCAACATCAACAGTACATATGAAACAAAATATATTAGTGTATGCTGATAGTCACGGAAAAGATATCGCTAAATATCAACCATCACCAGCATCATGCAACTATGAATTATCCGTCGATTGGCTATCAGGCAGGCGATGGCTTGATACATACACACCATATTTGTCAGCAATTGATACTATTGTCACACCAGCTACAGTGTCACGTCTATCAGCAATATCATCATTAATTTTAATCATTGCTACTAATTATGTGCGTAATATACCATATCATCAAGCTATCTTACAAGTGCACAATTTTATTACAATTGTACAACAGAAATTTCCGCATATCACCTCCATGGCCATTGTTACTTGTATACCATCAACAAAGTTACACATCGTTTTCCAAACGATGTGACAGTATTACGTTAACAACTTAAATGCAAATATCATCAATTATAATAAAGAATTGAAAAAATTAACTGAAACATTAACTATACATTTAATTGAGACATTAATTACAACGGATGATCTTTTTGATGAATTACATATTGATAATACAAAGCAACATATATTCTTTAATCCAATTTTTCAATATTGTGCATCAGTTAATCCATCATACAAAATCACAGAACAGTCACAATTACAACAACATGAAACACATCATCAACCACAAAGTGAGGTATCCGATGTTAATGATGCCAATGATAAACCGACTGCATCTACAACGCCAAACAACAATGTTACTATATTAGCTTCTACATCTTCATCTTCAGTTATTAATAATCAACAAGAACTTCAACAACAAAAAGTTAAAACGAAATCTACTCGAACAGCATCACAAAACAATGCTAGAAATAAAATAAGACATAGTCGACTCTAAAAGCGATTTTTTACCCGGTGGCCTTTCCTCGTCAACTGTGGCAGCGGCTGAAGAACTTCTGATTTCAGCAAATTCGAGAAATGTTTCATTAGTTCGAATTTCCGTCGACAGAAGTGCGAGAAAAACATCTCTATAATTATAAATTACAAAAATTCCTTAGTGATGGTTTTTTATTTTATTATGAAGATTAGCTAAAATAAGAAAATTAATAATGATTAATAACGATAAAAGAAACGATTTGTCCGCAGTAGAAGTGAAAAACCGAGTAAAAAGCACGCTTAAATCATAAAAAGACGATCGATATTTTAAGAATTTCGAGGCTCAAGATGACGATGGAGACAAAATTTGTCTAACAATCGGCTACAGCCATTTTGTACAGTTCGATGTGCTTTATCTATTCTAATAATAATTCGAACGAATTTTCGGGCCGATTTTGAGATATGTCGGCTCAAACTTCCCAATTTTTTTTATTAAATCGATCACTGTTCTGATCAAAAAAATTCCCATTGTTGATATTGTGTGACTAGAATCAAATTCGGAACTAGCAGAAGATTTTTTATTTAAATAACTAGGAAATGTTGAAGTTCAGTAGAAATATCGAGACCAATAATTTAATAATGATGAATACTCATGTGTGTGCTTTTTTAGACACCCGATCTCTGGAGAACTGATATGAAAGTCTCTTTGGGCTTTGTAGAGCACACCATTGGAAAAGTATATCTGAAAAGCTATAAAAACGTGTTTATAGACGTTTTATGTTTAAAAATTTTCATTCTCATGGAAGAAAAAACTTACGAATATCAGACGTGTATTGTTTGAAGCCACTTCTTTCTACGAAAACAGCTAGTGATCATTGAGGAATAAAAATCCAGCAAACAGTTCTGATTCTGCTGGCTCTCTCGTTTCCTGGATACGATCAAACAAAAGTGTTTTTTCGACTATACAATTGTTCATTCACGACAAATGAAAAGAAAACAAAAGCCGACAAAAAATATTTCTACAAACACGCAATACAACAAAAATGCTGCAATAGCTTACAAGAACAATAATGAAAAATATTGTATCAAATATAAAAAACTAGATATACGTCAAGCAATCTGTAGAAATAATGCATATATATCGCGATACATGAAAAAAAGAACTGTATTTTATAGTTTAATGTGGTTCCGTAAAGTTCACATTTTCCCACATGAATATGTATATATATTTATGTATTCTCGTGTATTATGAACCAGAATACATCACCTTTTATGTCGGTTTCTACTCTTATTTGTTTATCTATGATCCACTGAAGAAAGCTTGTAGAAACCGTTTGAATAAAAACGGATTAATTTTACAGAAATAAACCATTTCATTGCCCTAATATTCCTATTCCGTATTAGGATAGCTATATCACAATAATAGATCGATCTCTTGCTAACCGTATCTCAAATGAGAAAACAATATTTCTTACGCTTAAAGTAGCTTCTTCTAGCTCTTATCGAACTATACTGTAAACCGTTTTCACATAGGATATCATATATCATTAAAGCTAGTACTCATTAATTCGTTCTTTATTAAACATGCTCTGTCAGTTATTAATAATAAAATTATAAATTGTATAACTCGTTTGCCTGAAGGAATACAATAGAATCACTTGAAAACTTTGTACAAGTTGAAATATTCATTATGACTTTCTTAGTCCATTCTAGCGGATTCTAGAAAAAACAACGCACAAGACACACATAATATAAGCTTAACAATTCTCTCTTCATTATAAATTACTTTAAATAGTTGTGAAACTTTTTCTTGAGTTTGAATATAACTTTCATAATCAGCTAATATCATATACCTGAAATTGAATGTTGTATCTTTGATATAAAGTTGAATAAAGCTCATAGAGATGAATCTTATAACGTTCACATGCATAGGTACGAGATTCTGCTAAACTTCGTTTCCTCTCATTTATCATGCCCAGTCGTCCACACCTTTATGACCTCTACAAGCCATAAAAATAGATTCAAAGTGTCATTCGACTCGACTTAAAAGAGAAACCGTCTACAATCACATGGACTTCAGTTTTTGTTCTTATCTAACAACTAATCTATCTATTATCTAAACCTTACTTGTCATTATCATCACGTAAGTATTCACATAAATCTGTACAATTATTCGAATAAAATCCATTTTTAATTTGTAGGATAGCTTCTTGAAGGTCAGAATTATTTTGGACGATTGCTGGTTTTGCATACGAACTGTAAAACAATTAAATATTTTTTTAAACCACGTTTTTTCTTATTTTCCACTTACCATTTGCTGGTGGATGAATCTTTTTTCTTCTTCATACCAAAAATAAACATATTCGATTCTCCGATTTCTCTAATTAAATTAATTGTCGATGCATTAATCGTGCATACAGTTAGTGCTCCATTCATCTTTGAATTAGAATAAACAATAGGAATAAATGCAAAAAACAACATATAAGGAAATATCACAAGTGCTCATCCTTTTTTTTTTCTTCATTAGAAAATTTGGTGCTTGCTCCGCGCTGAACCAAATTGGGTAAAAACTGGGCGCCAAATGCAAAATTTGTCGGTGAATCCGACAGCGGGTTCCTTATAATTACATCTCCACTTCT